TTATGGATCAACTAAACCCTCTCCTRGACTCGCTTAAGAATAAGAAAGAGCCGTCTCATGGAACATCTCAAGTTTATTCTTTTAAAAGAGGTTGGATATTGTATAAAAAATTAAGATAATTCGGATATTTAATGTTTTTTGTCCAAATTTCAATAAGTTGATAGGGTTAACGTACTCCAAATAAGTTATCCAGCTCGTATTCTTATCTGCTAGGAATTTTTTTTGGTTACCCTTTAACGGAATCTCGGGTAATTTGGAATTGATTCGTTCCAAAATGAAGAGGACTAGTCTATTTAAGAAAAAGGTGCAAATCCTGAAACTTATATAAATCAAAAAGAGGAAGGAACCAAAGAAGTTAATTATAATATTTTATTATCAAGTTAGAGAGCCTTAAACACAAATTTCCTTCACCAATAATAATAGTTACAAAGCATTTCACGTAAAGATAGACATATAGGATAGGCCATTCTAATACCGCAGCAGTCAATAGCCAATAATATATAACAGTATAACTACTATAGGGTCACTTGACTTGTTCCTACATGTAAGTAATTTTTATCCTTTTTTTTGACCAAGACAGACATTCATGTATCCAAACTTCACTCTCTCCCTTTTCTCCTCTTTTTTTTTTTTCTTTGGTGGGGGCATAGCAAATCAAGAGTTACAACGTAGTCACCCGTATCATTTCTTCAACGTTAGATTCATTTACCATATTTATTTCATTCCTCGGTAAAGAATGATCCACTAGAATCGTCCATCATTGTGAAAGGCATGTTCTCTGATGGCTTCCAATGCCGTTTCCTTTGGTTTATAAACCAATTGTTAATCTGTTTCTGGTCTAACCCCGTTGCATCAGCTAAAGCTATCTTATCCCCTTCCTGTACACACATTTATCACACGTTTTAATATACTACTTTTAAGCGCAATTTGGTTAGTTCGATGAACATGACAAGTGTGTGTGTTTAGCTTACGGTAGGGTAAGGCCACTTATAATGAGAATTCCACCAATCGAGAAGCGCTTGTCTTGCTTCTCTAGGTAACTTTCCTTTCTTCTTCTTCTTTGAAAACTCTAGCTTTAAAGAACTTATACGGCTTCCGAATTTACGAAGCAACCTGTCCTTGAGATCACGATCCGCCTCGCATCTTAGTTTCCCATCCTCTCCTACCTCATCACCTCCACTTAGTTCCTMCTCGTCAGATGAAATTACACCATCCTCTGTGTATACACACAAAATGAACGGTCAGGATCTGAGCTAAAAATGCACGTAGAGAACCAGTTATAGAGACGGACAACTAAAGGAACTAAAAAAGTTAGAACTGGCTTGTCGGCTACACGGCTAAGTGGCTAAACAAGAAA